TTATATATTATATTTTATATTAATTAGGTATTTATTTTCTCGTCACATTCACCGAACTTCATTGCAGCACCATGTATAATGATGTATTTTTCGAAGTGACTTTTGTTCCCGATTACTGTAGCATATTTATTATGTACGTAAATATTTACGTGTCATATAATAAAATGAAATGAGATCATAGGTCATAAATGGCAGGACCGGTGAATGATACAAGTAATATATATATAATTCGAGCTTTTTTATATATATTTTTTATATATAATTCATATGTACAAGCATTTAAATGCTACATATATAAAGATAAATATCTTTAAAAATAGATATGTAATGAAAAATACGTAGTAGTTACGCTATTATCATACATTATTGCAATATATGTATATCTCTCTTCATAATGTGGTCATTGTATTATGTATATTCATTCTAATTAGCCATTACTAATGACTTCGCGGAAAGCGAGATTAATTTGGTGTATTATATTACATTATTATTAATCTTATTATTAATCTTATTATAATAATTTTAATTTCTCTCAAAGGAATGATTAGAATGATTGTCTTATTGTATAAAATTAACATATAAAGTGTAAAATTAAATTATAATTTTTATTAATTTTAATTAATTATATAAAATATATAATTAAATATTATAGCGTGACAAGAAGTTTGGCCACAAAGTTTTGTGTCAAATCATTAATAAAAATTATATTTACAAAAAACAAATTTTAGATTTTTTATTTATTGGATTTTATATTTTATTAAATATTAAAAATAATTATTAATATTTAAAATAGCCATCTTTGATATACAATATTTTAAATAAACTTTAAGATATAACTTTAAGATATTTCAGAAATGCATCATCAATAGCCGCTCATCTTTTCAAGGATCTATTTTTCTAGGCAGTTAATAGAGCGGTCTTTATCAACTAATGAAAATTTTTTGGTACATAGTCTTTGATGTTTAATAAGATGTAACTAACATAATTTGTTTTATTTTATACAATTCTATCCAGATAGCAAGGTAACGTTATTTATGTTCATTTTGATGTCAAAATTGCAACTGTAATATTATTTTGGCGTCAAAATGACGATAAATAACGTCAGCTTTCTATCTACGTAATGACTTAATGAACACATAAAATTTTATCCTAGAAACTTTTTTGTCACCTGATATTCTTGGCACTTTCATTCTTTAAATCACGGACATAAAGAATTAGTGTAAATTAACTTTAGTGTTTCTTCGTTACGAATATAACAAAAATACACAGAGAGAATAAGACGTGCTACAAGTGGGAAGTGCATATGTGGTCCATCAACGTGTCGTTAGTGATCTGATTCAGAGCAATTGATATTTTGTGATTAAGACTGCGATATCTGGTATAGCTTTCCCAACTACGACAAGCAGTTTCGTGCAAAGTACGTTCAATCTATTATTGATCAAGTAGTGGAATGTTTCCGCTTGTATTCATTTGTATCTGATTGTAATCCCGCGACAAATTACTTTGATATTCCTTTAATCAAATTTTCATTTTGCGACTAATTTTCTATATTTATTGACAACACTTGAAATATTATTTTGTTAATGTTTTGTTAATGTTTATAAGTTAATATTAGTTTCAATAAAACTTCTATCTTTTCGAGAAATTTCTACGTTCCTTAGATATTTATAAGAATAATTTTATAAAGAAAATAATATTATTTATTATCAAACATGTATATCAATCAAGAAACTTTCTTCGTGTCACATGTGCATTGAAAAAAAAATTAAATTTTAATAAATCATTTGTTTGTTTGAATAGTGCCAATTAAATATTTACCAAATGTAAGTATATATTTATTTGGAACAAACATTAATTTGATTTAATCATTATTTCTTTTTATTGAGTAAACATTTATTTTCTATAATTTTCTAAGTAAATGTTTAGTTGATACTGTGTTCAAATAAATATTTATTAAAATTTAGTATATATATTTTTTCTCATTGCTATTTATTATATATGTTTAGTTCCCTTACATGTTGTTCAAGAATGCTTTATATCTCATAAGGATGAAAATAACAATTTTTCCCTGTTATTCTCTATAATGTTTGATGAAGTATCTCGATACTTCATGGAATACGGTTCCCGTGTTCTCTTTTTCTAAATGAGTTATTCTGTTAAAATGTCTTTTTATTTCGCGCGTCCCACGCTATTCTGACTTACGTCACCCCACATGATGAGACGCATTCGTTGCCAATCGCGAGTACCAATAAATGCGCATCGCGCGTCCGCAAAGTTTCAGCCCTCCATCCCTCCGCAAGCGTCGTGCACAACAATCGTTTCCGTTTATTCGCCGACAATGCGCCAAACTTTCCAGTTGGACCGTGCGCTGGCTGGCTGTACGACGCTGGGTAAGCTTGGTATGATGTATTTGCTCGACTGTTCTCGGCCGGGAAACTTGGAAATTTATTCCTGGGGAAATTCGCGCGTTTGAATTTTTAGCAGGCTGACGCGCAGAAGTTTCTTTCTTACGGTGGCAGCGAAACGCCGCCCACCCTCTCGCTTAATCGTCTATAAGAAAGCGATTCTGCTGGAGTCAATCTCTCTGCCTTCTCTTCGCGTGAAACGAGGGCAAAAAGGTCGCTAGAGATCCGAGAATTCATTCGTACCGTTGTGCTCTTCACCCTCTTCTCCACGCGAGAAGTGATTGATCGATCTCTCTCTTTCTCTTTCTCCCTTCACGTTTGTTTCGCGCTGAACATGTTCAAATAGATCGAGAACAGTTTGTTGCAGACTTAACGTGCGGTTAGAAAAGGAAATTAAATTCTTGATCTATAGAACAAGAATGTACACTCCAATATTGACAGACGTATCGATTATAACTGATTTTTATCAACGTGAGATAGTAAAGGTGAATAATTTTTCTTTTACAATAGAAATATGATAACAACAATAATAAATTCTGAAAATTTAATATATATTGCGCAATTTTATAGATATATTTTCGTACGTAACAATGTATTGTACTGGAATAAAAGTTCATAGCGCTACTTCATTTGTACCATGTCTACATGTGTAAAAAAAAAATTGCTTGTTATACCTTTCGATAGAGCAAAGTTTTAGCTTTAAGAATCTTTTTTTTTTAATTGTTCATGGTACGGTGATTTTTAATAGAGTTATAAGCAATCAAAGTCAAAATGCTAATTTTATTTAATTCGGATAAGAATTAATAATAAAAAAATTTTAGGAACATTTTTAAAGTGATTTTGTAGAAAACTTTAAGCTTTTACATTAGAAAGTAGAAAGTGATTGCAAATCTTTCTTGGACGTGACAGATCCACAAAGTGAGAATATCTATTTTGTCAGCTCGTAGTTTTTTATATGTAAAAATTAAACAAATTCACAAAAATTCAAGAAACATTCAATCGAAAGTAGAAATCTATGCTTTAAAATCCTTTTATTAAATTTGAATTTCGTTTATTTTTAATGAAGTTATAGCTACTTGAATTTGAAGTTTGTAGTGTTACTTGTACCTAATATTTCTCCTCCCTGAAGATCGGAATGATCGATAAGCGTAACATCTCACAAATTTTTATATACAAAGTATAATTAAAGAGATAGATAAAGCTTATATAACTTTGATGACGTTAAA